GCAGCGGGGGCTGCGGGAAGGCCGAGCTGCTGTGGATGGCGGATGGCCAGAAGCGTGCGAACACCAAGGTTGGGGAGGATTGGCGCAATGAGAAGCGGTAGCAGCTGGGGAAGCGGCAGCAGCGGGGGCTGCGGGAAGGCCGCTATGGATGGCGGATGGCAATGGCAGGGAGCTCGGGAAGCGACCGAACGCGCTCGGGAAGCGTGCGAAATACAAGGTTGGGAGGAGCGGTGCCATGAGGGCGGATAGCAGGTGGGGAAGCGGCAGCAGCGGGGGCTGCAGGAAGGCCGGGCAGCTGCGGAGGCGGAGAAGCGGGTAGCAGCTGGGAAGCGGCGGCAGCGGGGGCTGCGGGAAGGCGATGGCGGATGGCAGTGGCAACGTGCTCGGCAAGCGAGCGAACGCTAAAATTGGGAGGTTGGCCGAGTAGCAGCTGGGGAAGCGGCGGCAGCGGGGGCTGCGGGAAGGCCGAGCTGCTGTGGATGGCGGAAGGCAATGGCAGGGCTCTCGGGAAGCGACCGAACGCCAAGTTGGGAGGTTGGCGCAATGAGAGGCGAGTAGCAGCTGTGGAAGCGGCGGCAGCGGGGGCTGCGGGAAGGCCGAGCTGCTGAGAATGGGGCCAACCAGGTGCCAAGAGGACAGGCACAATGAGAGGCGAGTACGAGCGGAGCAGCGGAAGCAACATCAACAGCAGCATCAAGAGCGGCAAAGGCACCACGGGTAGCCGCACCGGCAGCACAAGCAGAGGCAGCCCACACAACAAACCCAGCAGCAGCACCAACACCGACACCAACAGCAACACCAAAACCAACGCCACAGCCGCCGCCGCCGCCGCCGCCGCCGCCACCACCACCAACAACAACAACAACAACAACAACAACGACAGCGACAGCGACAGCGACAGCGACAGCGACGACAACAGCAACAACAGCAGCAACAGCAACCACAACAACAGCAGCAACAACGACGACGACGACGACGACGACGACGACGACGACGACGACGACGACGACAACAACAACAACAACAACAACAACGGCGGCAGCAGCAGCAGCAGCAACAACAACAACAACCACAACCACAACAACAACTACTTGATGCTGGTGGGCTTACTTGCCAGAAGAGGCAGGTGAAATGCAGAAAAGGGGATGGTTTGGCTAGGTCCAGGGACTCACGTGAACATTGCGGCACCTCACCACCACATCCAGTACAGCGCACCACCTCAGCATGGCACATCAATCTGCGAGAAATTTCATTAGGAACTGCCGAAGCTAGCTCAGATTGGCACAACAGCGAGTTCTGCCTGCAAAGATGCAAGCTCTCGCTTTGATGACATTCAACTCCAGGTGGGAATGTGAGCATTGCTCTGATGTAATTGAAGCTCTTGCGGTCTATCCTATCAGTCAAATGGCTGTTTGCCATCTGCGGCAGGAGATGATTGTCGATTTTGATTTTCTTAGATATCACCTGAAAAACAAAGTCAGCGGAGCTTCTTTGCAGAGCAGAGCACCACCCATCAAGAAAGAAGTGTGCAATACAGTGCACCTGTGAAACCGTCAAAACGAAAGACTTGCAGGCAGATTCTTTCAAGCACAGAGAAATTCATGAGGAGACTGCTGCTGCAAGGAATCAAGAGGGCCCGGGCAGACAAGCCAACTCCACAGCCGGCACAGGAAGTCCAGCTGTTCCGTCCACCACGTGGTGTGAGCCTGGAAGCTGAGATTCAGCATAAATTGAAAAGATCGTTTTTGATAAAACATCCGCTGGCAGCCTGAAGCATTGATTACATACCAGCGACCCCATGCCTGCACCGCGAATGCTAACATGATCAGAGAAGTTACGCAAGACAACACGTGGACTAGCCTCGCAACCATGGAAAAGCAGCTGCCCACGGAAGTTCAAATCCAAGGCCCTGCTTTCCGGCACATCTGCGATCAGCCACAGTATTTCGGATGGCATGCCAAACCTCCGAACTTCCTTTCCCATTCACGGCATGCACCTGTAACAGACAGCGCTGTACAGTTCTGAAGCCTCTGCACTGATCAACATCTCAGCATGTCACCGTCAGCGACAACGTCTGGCGCAAAACTCTGTCGGCTGCCTAGGAAATAGCCAAAAAACAGCGGCCGTCTTCATTCAAGGGCCTGCACCGCACCTCGTTTACAAGAAGCTTGGAACCAGACCCACATGACGTCCTGCTGAGTTGGTGCCTCCTTGACACACGCTAGCTTGGATGTCAGTGCAAGGAAGTTTGAAGGCTAAGCTTGGCCTCCACGATGATAAACTGAGATTGGAGTTGAGGGAGCGTAGCTAGCAGTACCTCTCATTCATCACTCCGGAAATGTTGACCGGCTGTTTTCCGCTGCGCACCCAATCGTATGTCTCTCCCAGCTCTGAGCAGTGCCTGGGGCCCCACACCTGAGCCACAGCATCCAATTCAGTGATGTGCCAAAGCAGTCTCATGCTAAACACCACGAGCGCGGCAGCGTGCCTCATACTTTTCCACTGGTGCAGAAGGATCCTACCAAAACTAGTCGGACCCATCAAATCTCGAGATTGACGCGTTTGCCTGCTATCGCCTGCACATCTGGCAAAGTCCAGCTGATCTCATATTTCCGTGCCCCTGGTGTGGCCTTGACATCGAGGCGCAAACGTCTCCAAAGTGCATTTGCTGAGGTGACTTCATCAAGCTTGGTTACTGCCCGTTGCTTCAAGCATTAGCTGCTGTCGCGCGTATTGGGTCAAAGGAACATCGAGGCATCGAAAAGGAGCACTTCCAGGTCTCGGCTGGGCGGGAACCTGGCAGACGGGTGACAAACGCCGACAGACGCCTGCGAGGCCTTCTTGACAAGACTTCAGGTCCTCAAGTACGAATGTCAGTCATCCTTTCCAAGGTAATTACAGTACGTGCAGTCGACAAGGACTGCTCTTGATAACTACTTTGACAATGCAACCTCAAACCAGCGTGGCCAACAAAGGAAAAGACTGTGCCAAAACGCACAGGCCCCAGACTGTGTCCAACCCGCCCTACAGGATCAGCGCGGCAACGAGAAAATGCCCAGCATAGCATGCACAAGTTAATCATCATGAATTCTGCTGATCTCCTCGCAGCTGACCCCCTCCAAAAACGAACAGTTGCACGAGATAGGTTTCAAACGGGAGGACGTGCGTCAAAAAAAGTTGGCATGCTGGCAACCAAGCACCTGAGCACAGGCTTCCTGTGTACGTCTGCGCATTTCATCCTTTGCTGCATGGACCTGCAGTCCAAGACATTGACACAAGCGCGATTTTGCACACGCACTTGCGCGCTTGAGCGAGCCTCATGAAGCGCCTCTGCGCCCTCCTTGCGCGTCTCATCATCCAGTCTTTGCAACCTATAGGAAATAGACCCAAGCTGTGGCAAGGAATCGCTTCATCAATCCAGGCGACAGACAAGTCTTCTGCGTTGAGGGGCGACACAAGCTGCGGATGTCAACAGGTCCAATCCAATTGGCCCAAAACAATCTGCACAGGAGCATTCCAAACTCCCCATGCTGTGCTTTGATCTCATATGTCCACACTGTTGAAACTTTGCGACTTATGCTTGAGAGTTGAAAATAAAGATTTGCAAAGGTGAGAATGAAGCGAAACCTTCAATCGCCCGTGGATTCGCAAGAATCTTAATGATCCCCGTATGTCATGACAAAACCTTTTTCAGATTGAAGCATCTCAATGCGCAGTGAGGCACGGCGGCGTTCTGGGCGACAAATCAACTTAGGCGCTGACTTGTCTGGATGCAACAGAAGCACCAGCTTCTTCCAGGCTTGCAAAATCTCCTAGCAAGGGTCAACGTCAAGAGACTTATAGCACTGAGGCCATACGTTGAAGGCGAGACGCGGCATGCAGCTTCTTGCAACTGTACGTCTTTTCATATGAATTCTGCTGATTCCAAAGCTGTTTCAAATCAGCAAGTCCTCCTCAGCAGCGCTTGCGGACACTTGCAGCTTATCCTCAACTCTGCCGAGCTGAAGCAGCAACAATACTCAATACCACAGCCTCAGCGGACACCGCTGCCAATATGCGTTTGATCCTTAGAAAGACTGGCAACAGCTTTTCTCATCGCTAGCCGCTAGCATTGCTGGAAACGCATGCTTGCACCTTAATTGTAGATGAGAAGATGACTCTGAAGTGACGTCACGCCTCTTCGTGCCAGCTGCTGCCTGAGCCGTCACAGCATCTCATTTCCCTGCAACAGACAACAAACCATCAGGAAGGGACCGGTGGACTGCTGCATGGACGCGCACGAGCCTGCTCAAATTGCCGCGCATTACGTGTGCCTCATGTCCTCAAGAAGAAGAACAACAACAACAACCACAAACAACAAATGCTGCTGATGCTGCTGCTAGTACTACCACCACCACCACCACCACCACCACCACCACCACCACCACCACCACCACTACTACTACTACTACTACTACTACTAGTGCTACTGCTACTACTACTAATTTTTGTGTAAAAAAATCCAACCTTTGAATACAACCTTTGCCTTGAAGGACGGCGATTTCGGTGGAGCAGCCCTTGCCTTCAAATGCTTTTTTGGGGTTCCAAAGACTTCAGCAAGGTCAGTTCCGTCACGCAGCACAACAAGCCGGCCTTTGCCCTTGCAAAACTCACAGGCAGGAGGGCCTTGCAAGTGACATTCACTATGTACACCAGTTGATGGCTACAACAATCTTTAAACATCTGTCCACATGCAGTCATTGCGCAAGCTGCATAAGCAGCATTCGCTTGCTGGAGCGCGACCGTATGATGGACCTGAACCACTAAAGCAGTAAGCACAAACTGCTGCCTTGCAAAAACTCCCACGCCGGCCTGATTGGAGAATCCATTGCTTTCAGGAGTGGGGAGCGTGGAGCCAGTCGAGGTGACGGTCGCGAGTCCTTCAGGTACAGAAATTCATCACGGTACATTCTCCTGCAACAAGTGAAAGGCACCACGCTGCCTTTGCCGTCTCCGAAAGTGAACCCTGGCCACCAGCCAACCTAGCAGAATTGGCAACAACTAGGCTCTGAACTGCCACTGACCTACTGCTCTCTGAAAGCAGCAAATGTCAGCCAGTCTTGAATACATGTTATACCACTGCCAGCTCCACAAAAAAACTTGGCAGCTGCCAAAGACATGAGACTAGCTCATAGGCTGTGACCCGAACCCAGCATAGTTTCCAATATACACAGACACAAGGCTGTAAGAAAACACCTAAATCCATACAAATACACAAGCAGGTTACAGCTCTTTTTCAACCACCATGGATGGTCGAACGCCCAAAGCTGATGAATTTGTACGTTTCGGCAGTTGAAAGGCAGGTCAGCAGCACTGAAATCACTAGGAGCAGAGGTCCAAATGTTGGACTTCTCTTGCTTTACAATGCGTTTACAGCAATGTTTAACATGTCTTGTGGGCGCCTCAGTTTTTCAGAAAATATTCAACAGTCTGAGTCGGGAATCTGAAGCTTTACTATGGAAAGTCGTCCCCGTTTGGTTAGGTCTCCTAATTGCTGCTTGCGAAGTGTTTGGTGCATGTACTTCATCGCACTTCGCTCGCCTGCGACGTGTCTGGGCAAGACCTTGCGGATGCACCGCTTGCGGTGCCCCCGAGAGCACTCCAAAAGCTATGTGACAACATTCTTTGACTCCTGGCTCGGGCTGGTGTGCTCCCCTCTTCTGTGGCACTAATGCTGAACATCACCAGTATTTCCAGTGCTTCGTGCTGCTGTTGACCAACTCTTGGCTCCATCGGCCATGATGCTTGCACACTCCAACCACGTCCAAAATGCCCTTGCAAAGGCATTCGCTTGTGACCTGAAAATGGAGCACAAACATGATCGTAATTTGGGCATGTGGATTCGCCAGGGTGACTGTGAGCAACCAGGGTTTGCTCATGGGTGTGCTAATGCCCTACACGCTTGAAACACCACAAACCTCATGATGGATCGGGCATGGGTCCTCTGGTGACCGCTTGCATTTGGAACGCGAACGTTATCATGGTTTGGGCAGGGGCCCTCTGATGCCCATATTTTGCACTTGGAACACAAGCTTCACTATGGTTTTGGCGTAGTACACTTAGAACACAATTGCTGTTTCCACAAAATATGTGGTGCCAGGCAAGAATTGCATCATGCACGCTGCACATGACAAAAACTCTACGACATGGCAGTCAGCCAAAGAGTCAAGAAGTCCTGCTAGCAAAAGAAATGTTACAAATCCAAATGCTTGGTTTACGTTTTTTCGTTGTGCTGGTGCCTTGCATCTGAGCTGGCAATCTCAACATTGGAGTTGGCAGTTGAGGCTCCTGGGCACAAAGCGAATGAAGTCTGAACATTGCTCCAACCGGCAGCTGACTTCACACACCTTCGGCATGCACGGGCTTCACCAAGCGAGCAACCTCGCATGAATGCTGCTGGATCATCCCGAGATAATTGACTGACGACGCATGACAACGGCCTTCTGCAGAGATTGCCGCCGATTAGACTTGCGCCATTCACTCAAAACCTACTTCGCAGGCAGACGACAACCACAAGGCTCATCGGCATCAATCAAAGATTTCAATCTAATCATATTGCATGCATCTTGCCTTCAACCGTACCAATCTTGATCTCCATGGTGTCACTGCTTGTCGACATCGCATTGGAGCGTGACATGGAATTAATGTGTCAAAACTTGCATGTGATGCCTTGCAGCACACTTGCCGGGACTTTAAACACTCGATAAGACCATCCGTGAGAGCAGGTATGGACATCCTTCAAATCGTTTCACCGAGTTAGTAACAGCTTTCGAGAACCCCACATTTCATTGTCTCCTTTTTCCCTGACAAACACAAGCGCTGAAATCCATTATGCATTCTTTTACGACGCTTGCAAGCCCTGCAGTTTACAGCGACGCTACTGTAAGAAGCTTGAAAAAAAAATGCAGTTGCGAGCCAAAAGCTTGTCGTGAAAAATGCTCTACATCCCTGGCTGCACGGTACAAATTGGCGGCATGGAAACACACAGGCACTGCAAAGGAATCTGTAGTCACACCAAATTGCCACTTGAAGTGGTGAAGCACAAACGGAATCCGCACACCGAAAGGAAGGCATGTTTGCTTGCCTGCTCCGAAAAGACCGAAATGCTTCAAGATGAAGATGCCTATTGTCACGAAAAAATCGACCATGCTGGACGGTACTAATTGATAGGACATGATTTCACAGCTGCCTGATCAGACATACTAATTACTTGCAAAAAAAGCGCGTCTTTATACTCGATTTTGAAAGCTCCTGTGCAAGCATGTCGTATTTAAATGAATCGCAATGTTCCAATATGCTTCTGGTGATGGGACCTCGCCTTTTGTTGTTTGGCCGGCTTGCAACATGATTGACGTACGGTGACATTGCAATAACTTGTATTTTCTACCAGGGGAAAGTTTTCAGGACAAAAAATAATGGAGAAGAAATTCCGCACAGGAAATATTTGAGTCTCCATCGAATTTACAAGATATTCAAAATATACATTCCAATCGAATCACCGCAACATGTTTCATACATGAGAGTATGTGAAAGTCACTCGAGCCACAAGTTGCGCACTCGTCTAACAGCAGACGCCCTCTGCGCTTTACCACCAGCAAACATGTACAAAGGAAAGTCAGAGCAACCACGGTTGCCCACGCGTGGATCATACACGACCCTACAGGGCCAAGATCCGTCCCGAGCTTCCCCCAGGCAAGGTGGGTGGGAAAACAAAATTTTAGGCGCTACAGCACCTTGAACCGGACATGCGCGTGAACAAGCCTCATTTCAAAACAGCGTGCCACGCACACATGAAAATAAGGCATGAATGTACACAAAAATTGTATTTCAATGTTTCATCGAAACACTCCGTAAAACCAGTCTTTACAACAGCAATCACGTGTCGCATGAAAACCGCTCACCCCTTGCCTACAGGCAAGGCCGCTTTTCCCTCGAGTAGAAAGTACCTTCAAGAAGTTGATATTTTCCTTTTACCAGGGGGAAGTTTTCAGGACAAAAAATAATGGAGAAGAAATTCCCCACAGGAAATATTTGACTCTCCGTCAAATTTACAAGATATTCAAAAGATATATTCCACTCGAATCACCGCAACATGTTTCATACATGAGAGCATGTGAAAGTCACTCGAGTGGCTCAAGTCTCGGCTCAAATGGGAACAGGTGAGGTAGAGTAGAAGGTGGGGTACCCGGCCCCTGGTGGCTAGGGTGGGGAGTAGTCGTTTTTGCCCGCACAGAGGTCTTGGTTGGGCCAGACCTTTCAGGAGCTGTTGTTTTTGGTTGTGCCTGACAAAAGCCAAGCAGTAAAGCCTGGAGCCCTACCAGCTTAGATTGCTTCTAAGCGTGGTGCCCACCGTCCCAAAAGAGGATAAAGCTGAAGCCCGACGTGTGTAGAAACGAGGAACTGCCAGCGAACCCCGACTTGTGCGGTGAAGTTTAAGTAGTGGGGATAAGCTTTTTGTGGATCTTAGCTTTTGGTGCTTGCTTCTGAGTGTTGTTTTGCGTTTTGGTTTGGCAAGCACAAAGCAGCTGCAGGTTGATTCCCTGTGCTGGGCCTGTGGTGGTGTCTACCAGGTCCCGGGAAAGGAATAACCTGTAGGTTGACAGATCCATTTTCAGTTCCTTTTTCCGCTCTGTCGTGTGGTGAGGGCTCTGTACGAGCTGGGGTTCTGCGAGCCAGATCAACGTTAGGGCGAGAGCTGCTGTCCTTCAGCCTTTCCGTGACAGTACCTCGTTGCCCATCCACCAAGACAAAGCAACTCGGAGCCCAACCGTGGTGCTTAACTATCGCATCTGTGAGAACCCGTACCTGGCTTTCACCACGTTCAAGATAGTTGCAAAAATCCTTGCCAGTAGGAGTGGCGAAACCAGTGATTGTCGTTACTGGGTTTGAGGATTTTGGGGTTTAGGATTGTTGCCTACGAGGCCTAAGAGCCGTACCGGAGGGTCCCCTGCTGGTCTATTGGTTTCCCTGACCGGGCAAAGAAGTACCAAGCCAGAGGGTTCATATACCCTGAAATTTCAAGCAGTGACTTGTTGTAGTCATGCGAATGAGTTTCTGTAGGCAATTATTTAGCGAGAGCATTGGCCCTTGACGTTTCCTGGCGGCAAGTTTGTGTCTAGGGTCTAGGATGGCTCTAAGGGCAGAGCATCTGTGAGGATATTGCCAAACTGTAAAGTCCCATTTGGACATGAGCCCGCCCAAACCATTCCCACGAGAATGGGAGAGGGTTTAGGACCGAGCGGGTC